TTTGTCTACCTGTAACATTTAAAATATACATAGAAATTAGTAGATAATATTTCTATCATAGGGTCGAACTAAAAGATCCGTGAAAAAAAAAATCAGCTAGTTTCTGTTATCAAACTTTTCACAGAGCCAAAGAATATCATCGAAAAATATGTATTATATAAATCATATACGTAGCTTGTAGGAAAAGAAAGTATGTAGTTTCTATTATCTGCATTTAATCTTGACTCTAAGTACCTTTCTATAGTTTGGTGTCCTGAACCTGATATACGATTCTCTGGTAATAGAAGCATACACTATCTTATAAGGTGTTAGAATACATATTCAGTTTATGCGCAGACAAATCTTTATATGCTTCAAGTAGTCTTGTAATTAAGCATCCACCAAGCAGCGTGAATGAAGTCCTATAGTTTACTCATCGTTATAACTTACATTTTTTAAAGAAAATGCCTTGTCTTTCAGTGAGAATCAAGTAGCCTAAGTTGATATTATGTGTGAAATCATCAAATATTGCTTTCCATTCCCATCATTGGTTCTCCATAAATGAAAATAAGCATTACCTTGTTTTATTTGGACTATTGCATAAGCTTTTAAGCGAATATTATTTTTAAAATCAGCCATCGGTAGTAGCTTGACAAAATCTGTGGAATTGTTACCTAAAAAGTCTCAGGCCAGCTCGGGTGGTTTTTTTTTTATGTTCAACATCAGTTCTAGGTAATACTACCAAGTAACGTTAACGAATACATAAACTTATACAAAACACGAAAGAAAACTGAAATATTTATAGTTACTTCAGTGATGCTAGAACACCAAATAGATATGTATATACAGTGCCTTGCAAAAGTCTTCACTCCCTGTTCTGGTAATTAATTTGAGTTATTTTCTTGTGAAAGACATAATTCAAGTGGCCAAAAATATTTATTATATTAATCTCAGACCAGTTTCAAAATGATTACAATGAACGAAAGGTGCATTGTTACTCATTCTAGTGATATAACACAAAAAATCATGAAAACACATGTTGCAAAAGTCTTCAACCCCTAACATGATTATACAGTTAATATTTGGTCGAAGCTTCTTTGGCAGCAATGACAGCTGAAAATAGTTTTGTATAATCCTCAACAAGCTTTGCACATCATGCTGGAGATGTTTTTGCCCACTTCTGCTTGCAGATATCCTCCACTTCTTGTCAGTTGGGAGGATGTCTTCGATGCACAGCGATTTTCAAGTCTCTCCACAGATTTTCGAGTGGATTTAGGTCTGGGCTTTGGCTTGGCCAGTCAAGGACTTTAATTTTATTTCTCCGAAACTATTCTGGGGTTGCCTTTTATTTGTGTTTGGGATCTTTGTCTTGTTGAATTGTAAACCTTCGACCGAGTTTTAGTTTTTCAGCTGACTTCCACAGTATATATTTTGCACTGTCCTTTATCCCTTGAATGCGTACAAGTTCTCTAGTGTCAGCTGCAGAAAAACATCCCCACAGCATTATGGACCCACCACCATGCTTGACAGTTGGATCTGTATTTGCCGGGTCATGAG